GTTTTTAAATTGTCAATTGAGTACAAACGAGATGAGTACCATTACTCAAGCTTCTAAATCCCACCATCAACGACAAATAACACTGTCAAGGCTTTAATATTGTATGTACCCTAAATGTAACCAGACGTGCTTAGCTCTAATACATGACGCTTCACGTACGTCTTTGTAAGATATTAAATATTGTGACATTTTGCATGTAAAATCTAGTTGGGCTATAATAGAACAAAATTAGTCATATTTTACGTTTTCGAAAAAGTTTGTAAGGGACACTTGAACTTGTCACACTTTGTTGTTGATAAAATGTTTCTAATCATGTAGATTACTTCTAGAACAAAAGGGGTGTTACCACTGTGGAACCAAGTGAGATTTGTTTTCTCTGAGGTGACAGTGCTTATAAACATACTGTTAATTAACCTGTAATTAAAACAAACAGTGAATGTTTGTAAAAGAGTGTCAGTGTTTGATGGTTGTGCGCGAGTTTATGTTGTACGAAATTCCTTCTCAGCCAAGTCACTCTTGAGTGCACATCGATGTTTACAGTGTTTTACAGTGCTCGATCCAGCAAAGATTGTAGATATTCTCCTGTTAATCAGTGGGGAGGGGGGAGTTGTTCGGTTCCGATAGAGAGCTGCCGTGTAAATGTAGCAACTACTTCAATGTGGATACTGATTTTGGGAGAGCTGTAGATTGGTAGCTGACATATTCGTTTCTGGTCGCATACGGCCCTGGTAAATAAAATATGTCACGACCCTAAATAGGTTGATCGTTACGGCCATGGGATAAATTATATTCGAAGTTCATATCTAGTGTTAATATATTAAATGCGCAACAACATTGTTTGTCTTTTCCTGACGTTTTTGTCACGATTTACCCAGTTTGACCACAGTCCTTCTATTGCGTGATAGAAGATAGACTGTGTTTGTTCATTCACTCACCGCCGCTTTTTTACTAAACACCGTACCTGGAGGTTGACTGACACCTATGGCCCGGCCCACTGACACAGAATAGACGTCCAGTATGTTTCAGTCTCGGTTATAATTCAAATGTATATTTTTGTTTTGTTGTTGCATGGAGCTAAAAAGAGCCCCATGGTTGTGAGAATGATCTGCATATGTGTGTGTTTTTTTTTAGAAATGCTTGTATATGGTAAGTTGTGTGAACAAATTTAA